AACCACCCCTAACCCAACCTAACCTAACCACCCCTAACCTAACCTAACCCTAACCTAACCACCCCAACCTAACCTAACCTAACCACCCCTAACCTAACCTACCCTAACCTAACTTAACCTACCCTAACCACCTCTAACCTAACCTAACCTACCCTAACCACCCCTAACCTAAGCTAACCTAACCACCCTAACCACCCCTAACCTAACCTACCCTAACCTAACCAACCTAACCTAACCTAACCTACCCTAACCACCCCTAACCTAACCTAACCACCCCTAACCACCTCTAACCTAACCTACCCTAACCACCCTAACCACCCTAACCTAACCCTACCCTAACCTAACCAATTCCCTAACCTAACCTAACCACCCCTAACCACCCTAACCTAACCTACCCTAACCTAACCACCCCTAACCTAACCTAACCTACCCTAACCACCCCTAACCTAACCTAACCACCCCTAACCACCCCCTAACCTAACCTAACCTACCCCTAACCACCCCTAACCTAACCCAACCACCCCTAACTACCCCTAACCTAACCTACCCTAACCACCCCTAACCTAACCTAACCACCCCTAACCACCCCTAACCTAACCTAACCTACCCTAACCAATTCCAACCTAACCTAACCACCCCTAACCACCCTAACCTAACCTAACTCACCCTAACCACCCCTACCAACTCAACCACCCCCTAACCACCCCTAACCTAACCTAACCTACCCCTAACCAATTCCTAACCTAACCTAACCCACCCCTAACCAACCTTAACCTAACCTAACCTACCCTAACCACCCCTAACCTAACCTAACCACCCCTAACCTAACCTAACCTACCCTAACCACCCTAACCTAACCTAACCACCCCTAACCACCCCTAACCCTAACCACCCCTAACCTAACCTAACCACCCCTAACCTCACCCTAACCTAACCCTAACTCACCCTAACCACCCCTAACCTAACCCATCCACCCTAACCACCCCTAACCTAACCTAACCTACCCTAACCAATTCCTAACCTAACCTAACCTACCCTAATCATCCCAACCTCCTACCCTAACCACCCCTAACCTAACCCAACCACCCCTAACCACCCCTAACCTAACCTAACCTACCCTAACCACCCCTAACCTAACCTAACCAATTCCCTAACCACCCCTAACCCAACCTAACCTGCTAACCACCCCCACCTAACTCCACCACCCTTAACCACCCCTAACCTAACCTAACCTACCCTAACCACCTAACTCCAATCCTAACCCACCTAACCACCCCTAACTCCAATCCTAGCCCAACCTAACCACCCCTAACCCAACTACCCCTAACCACCTCTAACCTAACCTAACCTACCCTAACCACCCCCAACCTAACTCCAACTACTCCCTAACCACCCTAACTCTAACCTAACCACCCTAACCACTCCTAACCTAACCTAACCTACCCTAACCAATTCCCTAACCCAATCCCAACCTACCCCAACCACCCCTAACCCAACCCACCTACCCTAACCACCCCTTACCTAACCTACTCACCCTAACCACCCCTAACCCACCTACCACCTAACCACCCCTAACCTAACCTCCACTCTAACCACCCTAACCTAACCTTAACCAACCCCTCAACCCTAACCTAACCACTCCTAACCCAACCACCCCTAACCTAACCTAACCAACCACCCCTAACCTAACCTACCCTAACCAACCCTAACTTCACCCCCTACAAATATCCACTGTGTATGTATCTACCTGTGTATGTTTGTATGTATATGATCATCTACCTATGTATACATGTACTCTAATTATGTATACATCAATCTACCCATGTATCTAATTATAAATATATCCATCTATCTATGCATACATCCACCTAAATATGTATCCATCCAACTATGTATCCATCCAACCTAATCATGTATCCATCCACCTAATATGTATCCATCCACCCTAAATATGTATCCATCCAACTATGTATCCATCCACCTAATCATGTATCCATCCACCTAAATATGTATCCATCCACCTAATCATGTATCCATCCAACTATGTATCCATCCACCTAATCATGTATCCATCCACCTAAATATGTATCCATCCACCTAATCATGTATCCATCCAACTATGTATCCATCCACCTAAATATGTATCCATCCACCTAAATATGTATCCATCCACCTAATCATGTATCCATCCAACTATGTATCCGTCCACCTAAATATGTATCCATCCAACTATGTATCCGTCCACCTAAATATGTATCCATCCACTCCAATATGTATCCATCCACCTAATCATGTATCCATCCAACTATGTATCCGTCCACCTAAATATGTATCCATCCACCTAAATATGTATCCATCCACCTAATCATGTATCCATCCAACTATGTATCCATCCATAATCATGTATCCATCCACCTAACTATGTATCCATCCACCTAATCATGTATCCATCCAACTATGTATCCATGTATCACTCAGTATACAATGTATCCACCGACAGTTAAGCTGTGTGTGACGCCTAAGATCCAGCCTGCCTGTGAGACCTACTCTGAAGACCAAGCCTCTGCCTCCATCAACCTGGTCTGTGTTCAAGGAAGAGACAGGTAATGTGGTGGTGTGGTGTGTGGTGTGGTGTGGTGTATGGTGTGTGTGTGTGGTGTGGTGGTGTGTGGTGTGGTGTGTGGTGTGGTGTGGTGTGGTCTGTGGTGTGGTGGTGTGGTGTGTGTGGTGTGTGGTGTGTGGTGTGGTGTGGTGTGTGGTGTGGTGTGTGTGGTGTGGTGTGGTGTGGTGTGTGTGGTGTGTGGTGTGGTGTGGTGTGGTGTGTGGTGTGTATGGTGTGGTGTGGTGGTGTGGTGTGGTGTGGTGTGTGGTGTGGTGTGTGGTGTGTGGTGTGGTGTGTGGTGTGTGGTGTGTGGTGTGTGGTGGTGTGTGGTGTGTGGTGTGTGGTGTGTGGTGTGGTGTGTGGTGTGGTGTGGTGGTGTGTGGTGTGTGGTGTGGTGTGGTGTGTGGTGTGGTGGTGTGGTGTGGTGTGGTGTGTGGTGAAGTGGTGTGTGGTGTGGTGTGATGTGTGGTGTGGTGTGTGGTGGTGTGGTGTGGTGTGGTGTGGTGTGTGGTGTGGTGTGTGGTGTGGTGTGGTGTGTGGTGGTGTGTGGTGTGGTGTGTGTGGTGTGTGGTGTGGTGTGGTGTGGTGTGTGGTGTGTGGTGTGTGGTGTGGTGTGTGGTGGTGTGTGGTGTGGTGTGGTGTGGTGTGTGGTGTGGTGTGTGGTGTGGTGTGGTGTGGTGTGGTGTGTGGTGTGGTGTGTGGTGTGGTGTGGTGTGTGTGTGGTGTGTGGTGGTGTGGTGTGTGGTGTGTGGTGTGGTGTGTGGTGGTGTGGTGTGGTGTGTGGTGTGTGTGTGGTGTGGTGTGTGTGGTGTGTGTGTGGTGTGGTGTGGTGTGTGTGGTGTGTGTGTGTGGTGTGTGGTGTGTGGTGTGGTGTGTGTGTGTGGTGGTGTGGTGTGTGGTGTGGTGTGGTGTGTGGTGTGTGGTGTGGTGTGGTGTGGTGTGTGGTGTGGTGTGATGTGTGGTGTGGTCTGTGGTGTGTGGTGGTGTGGTGTGTGTGGTGGTCTGTGGTGGGGTGTGTGGTGTGGTGTGGTGTGGTGTGTGGTGTGGTGTGTGGTGTGGTGTGGTGTGTGGTGTGGTGTGGTGTGTGATGTGTGGTGATGTGTGGTGTGGTGTGGTGTGGTGGTGTGGTGTGGTGGGAAGAAGGGGGAGGTGGAAGAGGTGGAGGAAAGGGAAGAGGTGGGAGGAGGAGGAGGGAAGAAAAAGGGGAAGAGGAACGAGGAAGATGGAAGAGGAAGGAGGAAGAGGAAGATGGAAGAGGAGGGGAGGAAGAGGAGGGGGAGGAGGGGCTAATCATTAAGGTAACCCAATATAGCGAACAGTGAAACCTGCATATAACGGACTTCTCCCCATATAGTTCGTTAAATGGAGGTTTCACATCTAACGGACCCTCTATATAACGGACACCCTATATAACGGACCCTCTATATAACGGATACCCTATCTAACGGACCCTCTAAATAAGGGACTCTATCTAACGGACACCCTATCTAACGGATACCCATTCTAACGGACACCCTATCTAACGGACACCCTATCTAACGGACACCAATCTTACGGACACCCTATCTAACGGACCCTCTATATAACGGATACCCTATCTAACGGTTACCCTATCTAACGGACACCCTATCTAACGGACACCCTATCTAACGAACCCTCTAAATAACGGATACCCAATCTAACGGACACCCTATTCTAACGGACATATAAAATCCGTTAAATATTTTTTTTTACCACACTCATCCTAGTATCTATTTTGCCCCGGCAGATACGACTGTTTACACAAGATCATGAAGAAGGAAGCTGACCTGCTACCAACACAACCTGAAGACGTTTCACCGCCAGGAGCTGTACGACGAGATACAGGTCATAGCCTATCACTGTGATCCGGAAGAGCTGGATGGAGAGTTTGGTTAGGGTGGGGGTTAGGGTTAGGCTTGGTTAGGTTAGGGTGGGGTTAGGTTAGGTTAGGGTTAGGTGAGGTTGGGTTAGGTTAGGGAGTTAGGTTAGGTGGGGTTAGGTGGGAGGTTAGGTTAGGTTAGGTAGGTTAGAGTTAGGTGGTTAGGTTAGGTTGTGAGGTGGGTTAGGTTAGGTTAGGTTAGGTGGTTAGGTTAGGTTAGGTTAGGTTAGGTTAGGTTAGGTGGGGTTAGGTTAGGTTAGGTTAGGTGGGGTAGGGTTAACACATTTTAGCGTTAAGTTAGGGTGTTACATGGCTGGTGTAAGCCCGGACCTACGGCCTAGAAAACAGAGTTAATGTTCGAAATAAGGCAAACAGAGTATTGGGTTTTATATCTAGAAGTGTAAGTAACAAGAGTGCAGAGGTCTTATTGCAACTATATCTTGCGGTAGTCAGGCCGCACCTCGATTATGCGGTTCAGTTCTGGTGCCCCTATTATAGAATGGATATCAATTCACTAGAGTCGGTGCAGCGAAGAAGACGAAAAATTATTCCGGACTCTAGGAAACCTTCCATATCAGGATAGGTTAAAGAAACTTAACTTGCATTCCCTAGAAAGACGAAGAGTGCGGGGAGATATGATAGAAGTATTTAAGTGGGTGAAAGGAATCAATAAAGGATATAGATAAAGTTCTTATAATATCCGAGCAGGATAGGACTCGAGCAACGGATTTAAGTTGGATAAGTTTAGGTTTAGGAGGGAGATAGGAAGAAACTGGTTCACAAATAGGGTGGTGGACGAGTGGAACAAGCTTAGCAACTTTGTAGTAAGTGCGGGAACGCTGGAAAGTTTTAAAAGGAGGCTAGACAGATTTATGGATGATAGAGAGTGGTAGTAACTCTCGACAGGAGCTGCATATGCACAGACCAACCGGCCTATTGCAGACTCCTTATTTTCTTATGTTACATGACTGGTGTTACATGACGTGGTGTTACATGACTGGTGTTACATTACTGGTGTTACAGAGCCGTGGCGTTACCAGGGGGTGGCAGTGGTGAGGAAGACCAAGATTAAGAGTGTGGCTAGTCTGAGAGGCTCCAAGTCTTGTCACACGGGATATGCCAGAAATGCCGGCTGGAATATACCCTTCTCGCACGTAAGTTAATCTACAACTACTACTACAGCTATACTACTATGGCTACTATTGCCACCACCACTACTACTATTATTACTGGTACCATACTACTTCACCTACTACTAATACTATGGCTACTACTACCAAACTGCTACTATTACTACCAAACTGCTACTATTACTACCATACGTGGCCTCCAGCCTCCCCCAATAGCCACACCTTCGCCGCCATTTATTTACCTTAATATTAAATATCCTAATACATAAGAAGCTATCCTATCTGTGTTAAATTAGTTGAGCCGCAGATCTATGCGGCATTCAGTGACTGTTGCCTCATAGTCAATATCTGCAGCAGTTGTCGGAGTAGGGGCAGAAGCTCTGTTCTGGAGGCAGAGCAGCCGACGGAAGGAGAGAGAGAAGGACAGTCGACATCTCATCCAGGCTGTAACATAGCTTCTGGGCTGCTGCTTCTGTTCGGAGATCAACTCCGCGAGTCTGGCGTAGAAACATCTTGCACTTGGGCCCATCCCACCAGAGGTTGTGAACACTAGAGGAGTGAAGCTGCCTTGATCAACATTTTGAATTCTCTCCCATATGCCCTTCTTCTTTGTCGTTCTGTTCCTCCTATGCAGCATCGAGCTAGGTTACGGTGACAAACGGCCATGGGATCAAAAATCCTGATGTCAAGAAAGCTGCTGTCCCCGCGTCCAGAATCCTCGAGCACTGACGTCCACACGGGCTTCGTTAGATGTGTTTGAAGTCCTGTGTTGGAAGATCTCACCATCCAGTGGAAGGAGGGTCGGTTCTACCATGACGTCCCGGCAGATTTCCTTCAACATATTTGCTGTGAGATCCCTTACCTCGTCATGCCTCATGCATATGAAGCCCCCTTCTGCAGACCATGGCGTGATCGCCATCATAGGAGAGCCACACACGCATTGGGAGGGCAACCATCTACTGGCCAACCGTACCTTAGAGCAATGGCATCTGTAAATTCTGTTTGTTAAGGCTGAAACCATTTGCCCTTATCGGTAACGTAGTTAACCAGTTCGAGGCGCCCACCTCCTGCGCTATAGCTACTTTTTGTCAAATTTTCTGGAACATGCAGCAATAGTTGCTGCAACATGTCATTTTGGCAGTGCTGCCGATCTGTTGTAATGGACCTACGGATCTTATTAACTTCGCTGGTGTCCACTTCCCCTGTTGCATTCTGGGCTATTATGTGGTCAGTGAGGGCTGCCGTGAGCTTAAGTGAATTTTGATGTTCAGAGTCAGCAATCTCCTCTGGATTAGTTAGTCCCATCCCTCCCAGTCTTGGTGGAAGTGCAAGAAGTGTTCTTTCTGCTAGGGTTAAGTCAGGGTGTTTCACTAGTTTGGGAATGAACTTGACACTGATTGCTTCTTCCAAAGGGTGGAGGAGGGGTCCGATCTCAGGGATGGTACGCATCAGGTAGTTCCAACGATGCTTGACTCCATGGGTGAATGCTGCAAAGGCCGCATGTGGCTCTGTGTTAGCGATCTCCGATAGAGCTTGGATTTCGCTCACCCACTCATTCACCTTTCCCGCTACGTACTGGGTCTTGAAGTCCGTAGTGCCAATTACTGCGCCTAGATGTCTTTGGCCGTCCTTAGTTATTTTGACCTCACTTTCGCCGAAAACCTCCAAAGCCCGATCATAATGATCTGGCTTCACGATGAGGAAGGATTTGCTGGCGTTTGGGTGGTACCCTATTTGTGGACCTCGCGATGTTACCAGGTCCCACCTCTTTTTGATGTCCTCCACTTTTCCTGCTCCTGTAAGGTCATCAGCATATGCCACTTGTTTGACCCCAGTTGTTTCAAACTTTATTTCTTGTTGGAGCACTGATAGGCCTATTGCATACATTGCCATTGCAACGGGGTCCCCCTGTGTTGTTCCCTCGGTCGACTGTAGGATGGTATCACCTCTTAGAGCCTTGTTGTTTACTATGTAGAGGTCTGATGGATTCCTATACGAATTTTCAACATACATCGCAAAGCTTGGACACTTGATCTTGATGTTGTGCAGTGCAGCCTTGCGGTTAAGTATGTTGAATGCGTTTGAAGCATCCACCACTATTGTTACCAAACTGCTACTATTACTACCATACTGCTACTATTACTACCATATTACGACTACTGCTACCAAGCTGCTACTATTACTACCATACTGCCACTATTACTACCCCTACCATAATATTACTACTATTGCACTACTAACATCACCTAGTCAACTTAACCTTATCTAACATAATTAACATAATTTAAGATATCGTAATATAATTAAATTTAACCTAACCTAAATTAATACCACTACCAGACCACAGCACAATATATAGTAGTTATGGTTGAAATGTAAGGTATTTTCGTTTATTTTTCTTCAACAGTCGTATTTCAATATTATTATGGTATTTTAAGTATGCAACCTTCAGTTAATATTAAAAGTAAGTTAACTTTTAAATATTATATTTTTTAAAGTTATTTTACAGGTGTTATCATTCATAAATTACTTCTTATCGTAACTTCATAATCTCGCGTCATTTATTGTATACACACTACACTAGCCAGCAAGTCATCGGCGACTATGCAAAGAGTCTGCATGAGCTGGTCAAATTGCCTCGAGATCTGACCTAACTAACCCAACCTAACCTAACTTAGCATAACCTAACCTAACTCTAATCTTAACCCACCTAATCTAACCCAACCCAACCTAACCAACCCAGCCCAACCTAATCTAATAATACAATAATAATAATAACAATAATAATAAATAATAATAATAATAACAATAATAATAATAATAATAATAATAATAATAATTATAATAATAATAATAACAAGAATTTATTAAAACTCAATCAATAACGTTCCTACCTTCATTCCGGAGTCCTGTTGAGAAGCGACATCCGAGCACTTGCTATAATAAAGGAGTTATCATAGAGCGTTTATAAGACCAGCATACGAGGTAAAATAGGATAAAAAACACTGGATAAAAATCATACTAGTAATCCTTCCCGCCATCTTAGTTCTCTCTGGCAGTTGTTCAGTCAAATGGCTGTCTAAATTTTCGTCTATCTCATTTTAATAAATATTCATACGGTGTTAAATTGCATTATTATTTCATGTTATAAACTGAAAAATTATGCAATTCTATTTATGGACGTTTACATTATATAAAAAAGAAATTTGATTGATTTGAAAATTTAAACACTTCCCGCCAAAAAATCATTCTCCTGTGTTAATTTATTGGTTTAAATATAAAAAGAGTTCATCCCAATATGTATAAATATTCAAATATCATAGAGATCTTAGTTTACAATTAGAAAAATCCATTTACAACTTCCAATAACTAGGCTTCCAAAACGCAAAATGGAGAGCTAAAATATTACCACGAACAGCGACGGAAAATCATTTACAATATTATTCTTGCGACATATAAACTAACCAAACTTTTACTAACCTATCCAATAAATCTTTAGAATAGTTATATTTGGGCTAAGTACGGTTTGAATAGCCTATATATACGAATCAAGGTAATGTGATGATGTTCGTGGTACTTTTTTGTAACATGAACCATTATTGGTGTTTATCAGGTATGCTGGTTCCTTGTTGTCTGCTACACACCCAGAGACAACAGGTGCCAGAAAAATCACTTATTCAGCTTGACTTCCATTTTCTTGACTTCCATATTCATTGCCTTCCATTTTCTGTGACTGCCATTCCTTGACTTTCTAGTAATCCATGTTCGTTATCTTCCTTGAATCTTAACTTTGAATCTCTAAACCTTTGTTTTTCTCTCTCGACCCTCCTTTGAATCTCCCTTTTAACATCCTTTGAATTCCTCCCTTTGGCATCCCTTTGAATTCCTGTATCCCCCGCCCTTTAACCCCGATCGCTCCCCTTGACTTCTCTGTATTACCCTTTGAATTCTCCTGATCCCTCCTTTGACTTCCTCTTCACTATTTTTTCAGCTGCTGGAGAAAGGCGAAATTAAAATGGACTGCAACCAGACAAGGACGGTAGTTGAACACGATCTGAGGGCCATATCTAATTACTTTGGCCAGGCTTGTATCCTTGAGATTGGGTCCCTGATAACGCGACGAATATCCAGCTCAGTAAGTCAATTTCAGGGTGTGTGGGTCAGTTTTAGGGGTGTGTGAGTCAGTTTCAGGGGTGTGGAGTCGTTTCAGGGGTGTGTGGGTCAGTTTTAGGGCGTGTGAGCCAGTTTCAGGATTTGTGAGTCAGTTTTAGGCGTGTGGGTCGGTTTTAGGGGTGTGTGAGTCAGTTTCAGGATTTGTGAGTCAGTTTTAGGGCGTGTGAGTCAGTTTCAGGGTGTGTAGGTCGGTTTCAGGGTGTGAGTCAGTTTTAGGGAGTGTGGGTCAGTTTCAGGGCGTGTGGGTCGTTTCAGGGTGTGTGTGGTCAGTTTCAGGGGTGTGTGGGTCAGTTTCAGGGGTGTGTGGGTCAGTTTCAGGGTGTGTGGGTCAGTTTCAGGGTGTGTGAGTCAGTTTCAGGGTGTGTGAGTCAGTTTCAGGGTGTGTGGGTCAGTTTTAAGGCGTGTGGGTCAGTTTCAGGGTGTGTGGGTCAGTTTTAGGGCGTGTGGGTCAGTTTAGGGTGTGTGAGCTGCCTCAGGGTGTGTGGGTCAGTTTCAGGGAGTGAGTAAGTTTTTAGGGCGTGTGGTCAGTTTAGGGGTGTGTGGGTCAATTTCAGGGTTTGTGAGTCAATTTCAGGGTGAGTCAGTTTCAGGGGTGTGAGTCAGTTTCAGGGTGTGTGAGTCAGTTTCAGGATTTGGTGAGTCAGTTTTAGGGCGTGTGGGTCAGTTTTAGGGGTGTGTGAGTCAGTTTCCAGGATTTGTGAGTCAGTTTTAGGCGTGTGGGTCAGTTTCAGGGTGTGAGTCAGTTTTAGGGTGTGAGTCAATTTCAGGAGTGTGTGAGTCAGTTTCAGGATTTGTGAGTCAGTTTCAGGAGGTGTGAGTCAGAGAGACACTGGTGACTCGACCACCGGTGAAGTTGAGTCGCTTATTTAGTCATAACTATATAAACAAACTGAGAACGACATGAAGTTTAGGCACCCTCGCTTGTTTCACCTGATTATTGAATACCTTATCCTAACCTTAACCTAATCTTAACTTAATCTCACCTTAACCTAACTTAACCTAACTTAACCTTACTTAACCTACAGAGGAAAAGTACCGCAGCCTATGTACTATATGTCGTAACCCTGGCCGCTGTGGTAGGGATGATGACCACGCTGGGTACAAAGGCGCGCTGAGGTGTCTGGTCGACTCATCCGGAGATGTAGCTTGGACAAAACTCTCTGCTGTTAGAGAATTTTCAAGGAGAGAACTGATGTTGATTTTATATTGATTAGTTCTTCATTTATTAAAACATTTCTTTTTTTGTCTAGGAATAATGTAACTCATACATAAAGTTCTTTTATTTTCTCACTTTGATAGCCAGAACTGACGTGAGTTATTTTATATACAATATTTCCCATTTATTTAAACATTGTTCTTTATTTTGGGTAAGAATGATGATAAGTGACTGTTATTTTCATTTTTCTTACAGGTTATAGCAGATAATTATGGCTTGTTGTGTCCTGATGGCCGGGTGGAAAACTTAGACTCCACTAAACCTTGTCATTGGGCCGCTAGACCATGGAATTCTTGGGTTGCTCGAACTACGCACGTTAGTACATCTTGTGTTAATTTTGTTGTTATCTGTAGTATATGATTTTTATTATGTTGAGGTTAATTGATATTTAATTTATTTGTACCTAAGACCACTGACAAAATAATATTCGTTTCTATAGGATATCCAAATGTGACTTTTTCCATCTGAACTGAACAAAATTAGTTAATCTTTCCCCTATTTTTTAAATGAATCTGACAGGTATTACATAAGAAAGAATAACTATACTCCCTTGTGAAACTTATCCTTTTATTACACAGAAACAAGAAGGAAGTGGCCGTTCTATCAAAAGTAATGGAGTTAGCGGTTTTGACCTCACAATCTGGCGATGTTACCCTCAGACCGTGGGCCAATGGTCTGCTCCGTCTCAACACGCCATCAGTCCTTCACGTGCGCCAACCACATGTGACGCCCGTGATTTTCTTAAGAACGTAAGTATTTAAATTTCTCACCTAATCTAAAATTACAAACAATTATCACAGCTAAATTATGATGGAGTTAAAATGGTGATTTCTTGTTGTGTTAACGGGAGCCTGTTTGTATAGTACTTGCTAACAGAGTGTAACAGCTCGACGGACCTAAGTTAAATTAATGCTACTGGATGGGGTTAGGTTAGGTATATTTACTTGTACAATATTAATATCTATCAATCTGTAGTGTGTCTCAACTTTGAGTCCTGGAGGGTTAAACCATCGTCTTAAATGGTTAAATAATCGTCATCAAGGGTTAAACCACCGTCCTCAAAGGTTAAATAATCGTCATCAAAGGTTAAATAATCGTCCTCAAAGGATTAAAATACTCTTTTCAAAGGGTTATTTCACTATCATAATCATACTCAAGGGTTAAACCACCGTCATCAAAGGGTTAAACCATCGTCATCAAGTTAAACCATCGTCATCAAAGGGTTAAACCATCGTCCTCAAGGGTTAAACCATCGTCATCAAAGAGTTAAACCATCGTCATCAAGGGTTAAACCATCGTCATCAAAGGGTTAAACCATCGTCATCAAAGGGTTAAACCAGCGTCATCAAAGGTTAAACCATCGTCATCAAGAGTTAAACCATCGTCATCAGTTAAACCATCGTCATCAAAGGGTTAAACCATCGTCATCAAGGTTAAACCATCGTCATCAAAGTTAAACCATCGTCATCAAGAGTTAAACCATCGTCATCAAGGGTTAAACCATCGTCATCAAAGGGTTAAACCATCGTCATCAAAGTTAAACCATCGTCATCAAGAGTTAAACCATCGTCATCAAGGTTAAACCATCGTCATCAAAGGGTTAAACCATCGTCAAGAGTTAAACATCGTCATCAAAGAGTTAAACCATCGTCATAAAGGTTAAACCATCGTCATCAAAGGGTTAAACCATCGTCATCAAAGAGTTAAAACATCGTCATCAAAGAGTTAAACCATCGTCATCAAAGGGTTAAACCATCGTCATCAAGGGTTAAACCATCGTCATCAAAAGTTAAACCATCGTCATCAAGAGTTAAACCATCGTCATCAAAGGGTTAAACCATCGTCATCAAAGGGTTAAACCATCGTCATCAAAGGGTTAAACCATCGTCATCAAAGAGTTAAACCATCGTCATCAAAGGGTTAAACCATCGTCAAAGGGTTAAACCATCGTCATCAAGGAGTTAAACCATCGTCATCAAAGAGTTAAACCATCGTCATCAAGAGTTAAACCATCGTCATCAAAGTTAAACCATCGTCATCAAGAGGTTAAACCATCGTCATCAAAAGTTAAACCATCGTCATCAAAGTTAAACCATCGTCATCAAGAGTTAAACCATCGTCATCAAGGATTAAACCATCGTCATCAAAGGGTTAAACCATCGTCATCAAAGAGTTAAACCATCGTCATCAAAGGGTTAAACCATCGTCATCAAAGGTTAAACCATCGTCATCAAGAGTTAAACCATCGTCATCAAAGAGTTAAACCATCGTCATCAAAGGGTTAAACCATCGTCATCAAAGGGTTAAACCATCGTCATCAAAGGTTAAACCATCGTCATCAAAGAGTTAAACCACCGTCATCAAAGGTTAAACCATCGTCATCAAGGGTTAAACCATCGTCATCAAAGGGTTAAACCATCGTCATCAAAAGCGTTAAACCATCGTCATCAAGGTTAAACCATCGTCATCAAAGTTAAACCATCGTCATCAAAGGTTAAATAATCGTCATCAAAGGGTTAAATAATCGTCATCAAAGGTTAAACCATCGTCATCAAAGGTTAAACCATCGTCATCAAGGGTTAAATAATCGTCATCAAGGGTTAAATAATCGTCATCAAAGGGTTAAATAATCGTCATCAAAGGGTTAAACCATCGTCATCAAAGGGTTAAATAATCGTCATCAAAGGGTTAAATAATCGTCATCAAAGGGTTAAACCATCGTCCTCAAAGTTAAACCATCGTCATCAAAGGGTTAAGCCATCGTCATCAAAGGGTTAACATGAAACCAACACATATATCTTTTCTGTTTTCCTTTTACAAATTCTTCTTGATTCACCATATAATTCGTGGCCTGTTGCCCCTCAGTTGGCTATGACACAACTATAGACCGCTTGGGGTGTCCTAGTACCTGTCCGACTGTGTGTTGAGAGTTGTGGCCAGAGAAGTGCCAGGGTCTTCGTAACGTACTACACGCCCGCAGGATTCGTCCCTTTCTGGAATGTGTGTCGCCTACGTCTGGTGGTGACTGCCTTGAGTGCTGTGGCTAGTGGTTCTGCTCACGTCACCACTGTTGATGGGGGATGTGTATAGAGGCCATGTGTGAGTATTAATGTTGGTTCATGGGTTTACCTGAAGATTAAGTAACCTAATCTAACCTTATCTAGCCGAGTCTAACCTAACTCCAGCCTAACCTAACTCTAACCTAGCCTAACCTATCTCTAATCTGTAACCTAATCTAACTCTAACCTAGCCTAACCTAACTCTAACCTAGCCTAACCTAACTCTAACCCTAGCCTAACTCTAACCCTAGCCTTACCAAACCCTAACTCTAGCCTTACCAAACCTAACTCTAACCTAACTCTAGCCTTACCAAACTTAACTCTAACCCTAACCCTAGCCTTACCAAACCTAACTCTAACCCCTAACCCAAGCCTAGCCTAACTATCTAACCTAACCTACTTACCATAGCTAACTAACCTAACTCTAATACCCTAACCCTTCACTAGTGCGTTTTACATTAGCAAGTCATATACTAAGTAAATATTCCACAAATCATTACACTGAGATATTTGTTTTAATATTGTTTTAATTTGATTCCATAGTTTGTTGAGTTTCCTGTCGAATGTCAACAAACACAGGACTGCCACACTGCACTAAACCTGACGGGCCCCTGTAAACGCACTAGTGAAAGGGACTGTCCTAGGCTATATGTCGGGCCTGTCAAGCGCACTAGTGAAGGGGACTGTACCTAGGCTATATGTCGAGCCCTGTAAACGCACTAGTGAGGGACTGTACCTAGGCTATATGAGCCTATAAACGCACTAGTGGAAGGGACTGTACCTAGGCTATATGAGAGCCTGTAGACGCACTAGTGAAGGGACTGTACCTGGGCTATATGACAGGCCTGTAAATGCACTAGTGAAGGGGACTGTACCTAGGCTATGTGATGAGCCCCTGTAAACGCACTAGTGAAGGGACTGTACCTAGCTATATGACGAGCCCTGTAAACGCACTAGTGAAGGGGACTGTACCTGAGGTATATGACGAGCCCCTGTAAATGCACTAGTGAAGGGGCTGTACCTAGGCTATATGACGAGCCCTGTAAACGCACTAGTGAAGGGGACTGCCTAAGCTGAGCCCTGTAAGCACTAGTGAAGGGACTGTGACCTAGGCTATATGACGAGCCTGTAAATGCACTAGTGAAGGACTGTACCTAAGCTATATGACGAGCCCCTGTAAGCACTAGTGAAGGGGACTGGCCACTAAATGACGAGCCCTGTAAACACACTAGTGAAGGGGACTGTACCTAGGCTATATAACGAGCCCTGTAAACGCACTAGTGAAGGGACTGTACCTAATATATAACAGCCCCTGTTGTTGTACTCGTGGAGGAACTGTATTTATGCTTTCAGGGAGTTCGGGCTGTTTCCTGTACTGTCAGAAGTGTATGGACAATTGGATGCCTCGTATTTTGCTGTGGCAGTGGTCAAGGCTGACTCCAGCATCACCTCCTCAGTCAACTCAAAGGCAAGTCCTGTCATACTGGGATTGAAAAACAGCAGGTGAGTCTCTTAGTTTGTACAGGTGAATCTGCTGTACAGGTGAGTCTCTTAGTTTTATACAGGTGAATCTGCTGTACAGGTGAGTCTCTTAGTATGTATAGGTGAATTGCTGTACAGGTAGTCTCTTAGTATGTACAGGTGAATCTGCTGTACAGGTGAGTCTCTTAGTATGTATAGGTGAATTTGCTGTACAGGTGAGTCTCTTAGTATGTATAGGTGAATTTGCTGTCAGGTGAGTCTCTTAGTATGTATAGGTGAATCTGCTGTACAGGTGAGTCTCTTAGTATGTACAGGTGAATCTGCTGTACAGGTGGTCTCTTGTGTATTATGGAGTGAATTTGCTGTACAGGTGAGTCTCTTAGTATGTATAGGTGAATTTGCTGTACAGGTGAGTCTCTTAGTATGTACAGGTGAATCTGCTGTACAGGTGAGTCTCTTAGTATGTACAGGTGAATCTGCTGTACAGGTAGTCTCTTAGTATGTATAGGTGAATTTGCTGTACAGGTGAGTCTCTTAGTATGTACAGGTGAATCTGCTGTACAGGTGAGTCTCTTCGTATGTACAGGTGAATCTGCTGTACAGGTGAGTCTCTTAGTATGTATAAATTGAATCTGCTGTACAGGTGAGTCTCTTAGTATGTATAGGTGAGTCTGCTGTACAGGTAGTCTCTTAGTATGTATAAGTGAATCTGCTGTACAGGTGAGTCTCTTAGTATGTACAGGTGAGTGCTGTACAGGTGAGTCTCTTAGTATGTATAGGTGAATCTGCTGTACAGGCGAGTCTCTTAGTATGTATAGGTGAATCTGCTGTACAGGTGGAGTCTCTTAGTATGTACAGGTGAATCTGCTATACAGGTGGAGTCTCTTAGTATGTACAGGTGAATCTGCTGTACAGGTGAGTCTGCTGTACAGGTGAGTCTCTTAGTATGTATAAGTTGAATCTGCTGTACAGGTGAGTCTCTTAGTATGTATAAGTGAATCTGCTGTACAGGTGAGTCTCTTAGTATGTAGGTGAGTCTGCTGTACAGGTGAGTCTCTTAATATGTACAGGTGAATCTGCTGTACAGGTGAGTCTTAGTATGTATAGGTGAATCTGCTGTACAGGTGAGTCTCTTAGTATGTATAGTGAATCTGCTGTACAGGTGAGTCTCTTAGTATGTACAGGTGAATCTGCTGTACAGGTGGAGTCTCTTAGTATGTATAGGTGAGTCTGTGCTGTACAGGTGAATCTCTGTACAGGTGAGTCTCTTAGTATATAGGCGAGTCTGCTGTACAGGTGAGTCTGCTGTACAGGTGAGTCTGCTGTACAGGTGAGTCTCTTAGTTTGTACAGGTGAATCTGCTGTACAGGTGAGTCTCTTAGTATGTATAGGTGGTGCTGTACAGGTGAGTCTCTTAGTATGTATAGGTGAATTTGCTGTACAGATGAGTCTCTTAGTATGTATAGGTGAGTCTGCTTGTAAGGTGGTCTCTTAGTATGTACAGGTGAATTTGCTGTACAGATGAGTCTCTTAGTATGTATAGGTGAGTCTGCTGTACAGGTGAGTCTCTTGGAATGTATAGGTGAGTCTGCTGTACAGGTGAGTCTCTTAGTATGTACAGGTGAATTTGCTGTACAGATGAGTCTCTTAGTATGTAAGGTGAATCTGTTGTACAGGTGAGTCTCTTAGTATGTATAGGTGAGTCTGCTGTACAGGTGAGTCTCTTAGTTTGTACAGGTGAATCTGCTGTACAGATGGTCTCTTAGTATGTATAGGTGAGTCTGCTGTACAGGTAGGTTCTCTTAGTATGTATAGGTGAGTCTGCTGTACAGGTGAGTCTCTTAGTATGTATAGGTGAGTCTGCTGTACAGGTGAGTCTCTTGTATGTACAGGTAATTTGCTGTACAGATGAGTCTCTTAGTATGTATAGGTGAGTCTGTCTGTACAGGTGAGTCTGCTGTACAGGTGAGTCTCTTAGATGTACAGGTGAATTTGCTGTACAGATGAGTCTCTTAGTATGTATAGGTGAATCTGCTGTACAGGTGAGTCTCTTAGTATGTAGAGTGAGTCTGCTGTACAGGTGAGTCTCTTAGTATGTATGGGTGAGTCTGCTGTACAGGTAGTCTCTTAATATGTACAGGTGAATTTGCTGTACAGATGAGTCTCTTAGTATTGTATAGGTGAGTCTGCTGTACAGGTGAGTCTGCTGTACAGGTGAGTCTCTTAGTATGTAAGGTGAATTTGCTGTACAGATGAGTCTCTTAGTATGTATAGGTGAGTCTGCTGTACAGGTGAGTCTGCTGTACAGGTGAGTCTCTTAGTATGTACAGGTGAATCTGCTGTACAGGTGAGTCTCTTAATGTACAGGTGGTGCTGTACAGATGAGTCTCTTAGTATGTATAGGTGAGTCTGCTGTACAGGTGGAGTCTCTTAGTATGTACAGGTGAATTTGCTGTACAGATGAGTCTCTTAGTATGTACAGTGAATCTGCTGTACAGGTGAGTCTCTTAGTATGTACAGGTGAATTTGCTGTACAGATGAGTCTCTTAGTATGTATAGGTTGAGTCTGCTGTACAGGTGAGTCTCTTAGTATGTACAGGTGAATTTGCTGTACAGATGAGTCTCTTAGTATGTACAGGTGAATCTGTTGTACAGGTGAATCTCTTAGTATGTACAGGTGAGTGCTGTACAGATGGAGTCTCTTAGTATGTACAGGTGAATCTGCTGTACAGGTGAGTCTCTTAGTATGTACAGGTGAGTGCTGTACAGGTGAGTCTGCTGCACAGGTGAGTCTCTTAGTATGTACAGGTGAATCTGCTGTACAGGTGAGTCTCTTAGTATGTACAGGTAAGTGCTGTACAGGTGAGTCTGCTGTACAGGTGAGTCTGCTGTACATACTCTCTTACTACTCATACCTAGACCATCTCAGTCTAACTTTACACAGAACTCAAATCAATACTCATTACGCTCTCAGCACTGATCAAGGGCCTCCTGTGTTTAAGCATCACATTACACATCCATCAATGACATTTCACCTTGTTCAAATTTGTATTATGTAATGGTGGAAGATAATTGGTATTTTATCCATTAAATACTTCAGTAAATAACCTAACCTATACTTAATCTAATCTAAATTAACTTAACCTAATCTAACCTAACCTATACTTAATCTAATCTAACCTAACAACTAATCTAATAACCTATACTTAATCTAATCTAACCTAACTAACCTAATCTAACCTAACCTATACTTAATCTAATCTAACCTAACCAACTAATCTAACCTAACTATACTTAATCTAATCTAACCTAACTTAACCTAACGTAACCAATACTTAATTTAATCTAACCTAACAACGTAATCTAACCTAACCTAACCAATACTTAATTTAATCTAACCTAACCTTAACCTAATCTAACCTAACTTAACCTAATCTAACCTTACCTTATTTTCTAGGGTGGAAGATTCCTGTGGTAACCTTACTGGAGGCTGGTCTTCTGAAGGCAGGCAATTGTGACTACGCCGGGGAGATTGGCACCTTCTTCAGTAGTTCTTGTGCCCCAGGTGCCAAGGATCCTACATATGATCCAAGGCACTAACCAAGTCACTCTGTGAGCTATGTGTTGGCACTGAGGTAGGTACACGCATATTGTCACTCAGGGTAAGGTTAGGTTAGGTTAGGATTAGATTGGAATTGAACCAGAATTAAATTGGAATGATTAGGTTAAATTAGAGATAGAGATATTGAATAGGGTTAGGATAGTGTGTTATTATTGCTAACTAAATTATCAGAAGAAATATATGTTATGTTCTAAATGGTTCTTAGATCACATGAAACAGTTCTTTAATGGTTCTTAGATCATGACACAGTTCTTTAATGGTTCTTAGATCACTTGAAACAGTTCTTTAATGGTTCTCAGATCACTTAAAACAGTTCTTTAATGGTTCTTAGATCATGAAACAGTTCTTTAATGGTTCTTAGATCATGACACAGTTCTTTAATGGTTCTCAGATCACTTCAAACAGTTCTTTAATGGTTCTTAGATCACATGAAAACGGTTCTTTAATGGTTCTTAGATCACTTGAAACAGTTCTTTAATGGTTCTCAGATCACATGAAAGTTCTTAATGGTTTCAGATCACATGAAACAGTTCTTTAATGGTTCTTAGATCACATGAAACAGTTCTTTAATGGTTCTTAGATCCTTGAAACAGTTCTTAATGGTTCTTAGATCACATGAAACAGTTCCTTAATGGTTTCAGATCACATGAAACAGTTCAATGCTTCTCCTTTACAAAATGCCAGTTTACTAGACAGTTTGACAATTCTCTGTTACAAACTGTTGACTGGAAGTGAACACAAACTAGACGAAATAATGTATCAGTCAACTGCTTCAGGTTCACGAGTCTGAATCTTTGGGGTTCGTGGTTCGGGGAAGAGGCGAACGGACCTTTGTAGGTAACTGTACATTGAGTCAATATTGTCCTTTGAGCTGGTAAGGTCTCACTCACATTAATTGTAAACACATTCACCTCTCAGTATAGGTTGAGAAGGGGTCATCAAATCTGTTTCCTCATCTATCACAGTTGAAGGGTTTCTGGTCCGTCATACACCACTTCAAATACTCAGGGCAGTGAGAGAATTCAGCTGAAGCCTTCTACGGATACACAGGTGCCTTCAGGTGCCTGGTGGAAGGAGGTGGTGATGTGGCCTTCGTCAAACACACAACTGTAGGCGAAAACACAAGTGAGTTTATTTTGATTTTCACGGTACTTCAAACATGTTTCCTGTTTCCTCCCTGTCTCCCTCACCCCTCCTGAGACACTGTGAGTTGGAGGAGGAACTATTCTGAGACACTCTGTAATGGTCATGATAAGAGCTAACCTGAAAACCTTAAGGATTCATATTACGCTCAAACGTCCACAAACCTTCCGAGTCCCCCAGTGGAAACGTCCCCCGTTCTCTGTTTCCCCACCTTTGTCTATGGAGACAGACGCTGTATGCTGGGACCTGTTGCCATCCATTCCTTTGTAATCAATTTAATTCTGCTTTCGATAGCTGAGTCAGAGCATTGTTAGTGAAGATAATAGTAGAGAATGAAAAGGTTCATAGTCTCAATTTCAACGTCAGAGGGTTGCCGTAAATTAATTCATTGGAATAGGGGTAGCTGGACTCCTGGTCTGGTTTGGGTGAGGCACGCGGGCATTTTAACCGTTAGTAAGTGCCGTCCCTTCATCCATACAGGTATGCCATTCCACGCTGGGTTGTGATTTGCCCTTCTTTAAGTGATTTGCCCAATTAATAGTTGATTGTGCAAGTGTTACAGTAACGTAGTTGATATGCTCTGAGTAAAGTCATATTTACGTCTTTAACGTCCCCTGAAACGTGTTGTTGTTGTCACCGGTGAGTAAGTGCCGTCCCTTCATCCATACAGGTCCCTAACGCAGCTTAGCCGTGTCTGTAGGGTGGATCCACTATGTCTGGGGACATGTCCGAGGTCAATGGGATCAGTTACCTTCGTGAGACCCGGCCGTCAGACACTTCAGACCACCTATAGCCCCCATAGCTGGCTCGTCTGGCCTAACGCTCGGTCCACGAGGTGACCCTGGACCACCAAGCCACACACCACTACCAGCCCCATCATTGGTGGATGAGTGTCTAACTCAGTAGGGCTATATTTGTGTGGTGGAATTAACCCACTGGGATCTCCAGAGTTCGTCGGATAGTACTCCATGGTGGCTGGACCCCATGGCTGTTGTAGTATCACTCCTGACGACTGAGTGTTGTTAGTGGCAGTTGCCTAGTATTTATGGTGCTAAGTGACTATCATAGTTGTGCTATTGAGTATGTCCACCCAGTAGAGTTGGAAGTGTATTGAATATGTCCACCCAGTAATGGTGTGAGTATGTTGAGCCTGAGGGCTAGTAATAGATTTCGTCTGTTAGTACAAACCAATTTTTCTTCTAATTTCATATTCATGTTTAAATAAACTTTGTATTTGTATAATTGTGTATATTATTTACCTACAGTATTTACCGTTATTTCTTCCCTATTGCTTGATACTATCATTACACGAGCCTCCCTATCGTCACCAATAGTATAAAGTAACAGGAATTGTTACTGCACTGAGCCCTCATGAATGGTGGCAGTAGCAGCCCTCATAAATGGTGGCAGCTCAGCCCTCATAACTCTATATATGTAATGGGTCACTCAAGAAAATAACTGTACTTGGGGTGATTGATGAATTCCAGAATGAACACTGTGACTCCTGTTGTCTGTGGGGTTGTTAAAATTCTTCGTCCGCTGTGCCATATTTTTCAACACAATTTGGTATAGATACTTTTTTAACTGTGTATTTTTTGATAATGTTCCTTTATGGTTTTATATTATTTTACACAGAATTATGTTTCCTGTAGATATAACAACTTTGCTTCACTGAGCAGAACTTCCTGTAGATGGCAACCGTAGATATGACAACTTTACCACTGGACTTCCTAATATGACAAATTTACTACATGGACTTCCTAATATGACAAATTTACTACACTGGACTTCCTAATATGACAAATTTACTACACTGGACTTTCTAATATGACAACTTTGCCACACTGAACGATACTTTTTTAGATGACAACAATCAGGCGCAGTGGGCGAAGAATCTACGAGCATTGGACTTCAAGTTGCTGTGTAAGAAAACTGGGACAGCTGATGTGGTCGACTACAACGCCTGCCACCTAGCACGTGTCCCGGCCCACAAGGTGAGTGGTTTAACACCTGTAGCATGGTGGTTTAATAGGATACTTGTTTAACACCTGTAGCATGATGGTTTAACCCCTGTGGCATGATGGCTTAATAGGTTACTTGTTTTAACACCTGTAGGATACTGGTTGAATAGGATACTAGTTTTAATACCTGTAGGATGATGGTTTTAACGCCTGTAGAATGATGACTTAACAGGACACTAGTTTTAACCTGTAGGAATGATGACTTAACACGATACTAGTTTTAACCCCTGTAGAATGATGACTTAACAGGATACTAGTTTTAACTCCTGTAGGATGATGGTTTTAACCCCTGTAGAATGATGGTTTTAACCTGTAGAATGATGACTTAACAGGATACTAGTTTTAACTCCTGTAGGATGATGACAACAGGATACTAGTTTTAACTCCTGTAGGATGATGGTTTTAACCCTGTAGAATGATGGTTTTAATCCCTGTAGAATGATGACTTAACAGGATACTAGTTTTAACTCCTGTAGGATGATGACTTAACAGGATACTAGTTTTAACTCCTGTAGGATGATGGTTTTAACCCCTGTAGAATGATGGTTTAACCCCTGTAGAATGATGACTTAACAGGATACTAGTTTTAACTCCTGTAGGATGATGACTTAACAGGATACTAGTTTTACTCCTGTAGGATGATGATGGTTTTAACCCCTGTAGAATGATGGTTTAACCCCTGTAGAATGATGACTTAACAGGATACTAGTTTTAACTCCTGTAGGATGATGACTTAACAGGATACTAGTTTTAACTCCTGTAGAATGATGGTTTTAACCTGTAGAATGATGACTTAACACGATACTAGTTTAACCCCTGTAGAATGATGACTTAACAGGATACTAGTTTTAACTCCTGTAGGATGATGGTTTAACCCCTGTAGAATGATGGTTTTAACCCTGTAGAATGATGACTTAACAGGATACTAGTTTTAACTCCTGTAGGATGATGGTTTTAACCCCTGTAGAATGATGACTTAACAGGATACTAGTTTTAACTCCTGTAGGATGATGGTTTTAACCCTAGAATGATGACTTAACAGGATACTAGTTTTAACCCTGTAGGATGATGGTTTTAACCCCTGTAAAATGATGACTTAACAGGATACTAGTTTTAACCCCTGTAGGATGATGGTTTTAACCCCGTAGAATGATGACTTAACAGGATACTAGTTTTAACCCCTGTAGGATGATGGTTTTAACCCCTGTAGAATGATGACTTAACAGGATACTAGTTTTAACTCCTGTAGGATGATGGTTTTAACGCCTGTAGAATGATGACTTAACAGGATACTAGTTTTAACTCCTGTAGGATGATGGTTTTAACCCTGTAGAATGATGACTTAACAGGATACTAGTTTTAACCCCTGTAGAATGATGACTTAACAGGATACTAGTTTTAACCCCTGTAGGATGATGGTTTTAACCCCCGTAGAATGATGACTTAACAGGATACTAGTTTAACCCTGTAGGATGATGGTTTTAACCCCTGTAGAATGATGACAACAGGATACTAGTTTTAACCCTGTAGGATGATGGTTTTATTACATGGAGTAGATGGTATATATTTTCATGTGTGATGATTTAACCCCATGATTTAATTCTTTAAGGAGGATTTAACCCCATGATCATCTTTTAACACCACCTCCAATGCTCCACCTTATTAAAACAAAAGGAACACTGGAACCTTCTATATAAACACTACCTCCAATGCTCCACCGTTAAAGGGAACACTGGAACCCTCTTAGGAACACCATCTCCAATGTTCCACCGTTAAAGGAACACTGGAACCTTCTTTATAAACACTACCTCAATGCTCCACTGTTAAAAGGAACACTGGAACACCACCTCCAATACTCCACCGTTAAAAGGAACACTGGAACACCACCTCCAATACTCCACCGTTAAAAGGAACACTGGAACACCACCTCCAATACTCCACCGTTAAAGGAACACTGGAACACCACCTCCAATGCTCCACTGTTAAAAGACACTGGAACACCACCTCACTTGGTTCTATTTCACCTCCAGGTATTGGCCGGTCCCCACTCTAATGGTACCATGCTTGAAGAGATTCGGATCCTATTCTTAGGGCGTCAGAACAGCTACCAAGGGACAGGATATTTTCACCTTCGGCCCATTCCAGGGTAGAAAGGATCTTATTTTCAAGGTAAGGTTTGGTTTGGTTAGGTTAGGTTTTTGTTAGGTAAGGCTGGAATTCAAGTGATGCTTTGTTTAGAATTTTAATTATACAAAGATGTTAATTTAGATTGGGTTGGTTAGGTTAGGTAAAGGTTAGGTTAGGTTTGGCTAGTCTACTGTAATTAATCCCTTCTTTTCTGTATTTAATCTTATTTTATTGTCATTGTCATTGGTCTGTTGTCTGGCCGTTAGTAAATAGTTTATTTTATATTTAATTATCTTTATTTTTCATATTTATTTTTCAGTTATCTCTAACTATTTTCGTTCCTATTTTTCACTTATTATTGTCTTTACTTATTATCATATTTACTTATTATGTTATTTACTTTTCTTTTCTTTTTCACCTATTTTCTATCTTTTTATTTCTAATTGTTTCTTCTAAGTCTTTTTAACTGGCTCTAAGGTTCTTTTCAGACTAAGTAATCACCTCCGTTTTATATATGTTACATCGGGCAGATTCTCTACAGTATATGAAACAAACATAATCTCACAATAGGATGGAACTCAACTCACCTGCCAACGAGATGTCAATGTTTGCAAACACTCGTCCCCAAAAAGTGACAATAACACCACGAAGATAAATATATATTATCTTTTCTTAACTAGTATATATTGCTTACAGGATTCTGCCACCGAGTTGGTAAATGTACGAGAGGACGAATTCCACAAGACACTGGGGAGCTCCTACTACCGTGCTCCTTACTGAGCTCAGTGCCTGTATTCTAAAGAGTCACAACAACACTATACAATGAAGGAGAGCGCCTCTACTCTTCATGACCCATCTGTTTCTACCTGCTCTTGTGTACAACTCTTATCTGGCTTCTGTCGTGCTAATTATATCGCTGTTGTTGTTGTTGTTGTAGTTTAAGATAATGTTGCGGGGGGTGATTAAAGCCCTAGATATTAAGGCCACACCATAAATCAATAATCAAAACATTGAACAAGAAAGCCTCATCTCTTGGCATTTACCCATAAAATGTTAATAGTAAACAAACGCCTATGGAAAACTTTATCCTCTTTGCCACATTGGTGTTTGTGTCTTGTCTACATTATCTAATCCTTGCTGCTGGTAAAGTAGTATATTTGGGACCAATTGTTTACTGTATGTGTGTTATAATTCATTACCATCCCCAGCAATATTGTTTGTGTTTGTCATTCTTAGTTAGTGAGTGCTTCGTAATCTATATGCACAGTCCCTTCAATAGTGTGTTTACAGGGGGTCAATATATAAACATTTCACAAATCATTACACTGAGATATTTGTTTTTAATTTTGTTTTAATTCTGATTCCATGTAGTTTAATATTGTGGAGTTTCTTCTGTCGAATGTCAACAAAACAGGACTGCCACACTGCACTAAACCTGACGGTAGCCTGTAAACGCACTAGTGAAGGGACTGTACTGGGCATATAACGAGCCCTGTAAACGCACAGGAAGGGACTGTACTCTAGGCTATATAACGATGCCCCTGTAAACGCACTAGTGAAGGGACTGTACTTAGGCTATATAACGAGCCCCTGTAAATGCATTAGTGAAGGGACTGTACCTAGGCTTATAATCTAGCCCCTGTAAACGCGCTAGTGAAGGACTTACCTAGGCTATATAACGAGCCCCTGTAATGCACTAGTGAAGGCCTGTACCAGGCTATATACGAGCCCCTGTAAACGCATCTAGTGAAGGGACGTACCAGGCTATATAACGAGCCCCTGTAACGCACTAGTGAAGGACTGTACCTAGGCTATATATGCAGCCCCTAAACGCATCTAGTGAAGGACTGTACTCAGGCTATATACGAGTCCTGTAAATGCACCAGTGAAGGGGCCTGTACTTAGGCTATATAACGAGCCCCTGTAAACGAATTAGTGAAGGGACTGTACCTTAGGCTATATAACGAGCCCCAAACGCAATTAGTGAAGGGACTGTACTCAGGGCTATATAACGAGCCCTGTAAATGCAATAGTGAAGGGACTGTACCCAGCTATATAACAAGCCCTGTAAACGCACTAGTGAAGGGACTGTACTATGAGGGTTAAAATGTTCATATATGGCTAAACTTAAAGAAAGCATTTGCTTGTGTGATATAGTCACTCTTGTTCATGATCAATATTTGATCCAAACTTATATAATATTATGATTTTACCTTTTCACAAATATTAATAACTCTTCTATCGACTTTCTTCATTTTTCATGATCTATAGCTTCGTTTTTTCAGCTTCAAGAAGAATGAATTGAGTTACAAGGAGTTTTTATATGTAGAAAGTCCTACGACCCAGCTGAATATATAGGAGGTGTTTATAATAGTATGGTATTAAAGAGTTACTCAATCTCCCATTTTCTATGTCAGCAAACGTGATGCCCTACACCCCCAAAAAAAAGTACACAATACAGCTTAAAAACTTGAGCTGAATTGAGGTATAGACATACTGCCTTGCTATACTTAATAAATTAAATCTCGCTGGTATAGTACAGTATGGTATTGTTGCTGAGTAAGACACACTATCGGATCTTACTCACCAAGACCCCCAGAATCTTCCTCTGTTTACATCTTACTCACCAAGACCCCAGAATCTTCCTCTGTTTACATCTTACTCACCAAGACCCCAGAATCTTCCTCTGTTTACATCTTACTCACTAAGACCCCAGAATCTTCCTCTGTTTACATCTATCACCAAGACCCCAGAATCTTCCTCTGTTTACATCTTACTCACCAAGACCCCCAGGAATCTTCCCTCTGTTTACATCTTACTTACCAAATCCCCCAGAATCTTCCTCTTGTCTACATTTTACTCACCAAGACCCCCTGAATCTTCCTTCTGTTTACATAAACTAGGGTGTCTAATATTCATGTGAAATAAACTAGGTGTCTAATATTCAGGTGATCCATTAGGCTGGTATATATATCACACTGTACTAGTGGATATCAAGTAATCTTTACGGCAATTTATTCTGATACAATATTCGATACCAATTTGGTACACTTAATTAAATAATTAAATCATTAAATATTTTAATATCAACAGATTAGTTCTCAAATATTGGATATATTCTGACTTAAATATTTGTGAGCTTAGTGGTCAACATAGCACTATATTATTCCTTAAGAGCAAGAATTGTGGTAATAAATAATGATTAAAAATTATTATTTTTTACTTTTATCCATTTCCATTTATATGTCTTTTACCAGTGTGTGTGTGTTGTCATGATCGTGATGACGGCTAACCTGAGAACCTTAAAGATTCATATTACGCTCAAACGTCTGTGGGTTTTTGGATGTTTGTGTTCACACTAGGATGGATGGAGAAAGGAAACCGCCAATGTGCTCTATATACATGTTGTATTGATGTACAATGCAGCTTGGTGCTGGGAAGGCAGCATGGTGTTACGAGTTGGGGATTTAGAATATAGTAAAGTCTACTCCAGATCCCAACAGGCAAATAACAATAAAAAACAAAGACAATCGGACTATAAAGGGTAGACAAAGGAGTTTTGTTGTGTATAATAAAGTACTATAAATTTTAACAAAATATCCAGCTTCTTATAAATTATCCTAACCATGTTTAACCTAAACATACGCAATATTAGCTTAACAGTATATATATTATTTTAACATTCGAAAGTGTGGACGTGGGGAGGCAATATAAGATTACAAAATACTCAAGTGCAGGAGATGGCTGACGAGTAAGACTGAGCATTGAAGAAGATGGTAGGTAGTCATGTGCTATAGGTCAGGATAGGTGATCTAGTGTTCACTTCCCAGAGTGAACTGACTCTCCTCAATCTGGAGCTGATGAGGAAGACTTGAGGAGGTGACGCAACAACCAGGATAGGAGAAGGGAAACCCTGGAGTGGTAACTAAGACTAGTCATACTGGGGTTTCTGTCCCTAGATGGTGTTGCTCGTGGTGCTGGGTAGGTAGATCATGACAATAGATGGCGGTTCGTAACAATGGTTACAAGCGTGATGTAGAGAGCTGGTTGGTGAGGATGCTCAGAGAAGGACAGCCAGGGTCGCCATGCTCGTCATGGGAGCGAGGGGCTGCCAGGCAGCGCGGAGGAGGAGGAGGTTGTTGCTAGCTGGTTGGTGGAGGTAGAAAAGACAGGTCACCATGAGGTCAGGTCTTAAATAGCAGGGGTAGGCATGGCTTAGTAGTTGACCCCAGCTCCATGATGGCGACGCTGGTAGACCACGAGGGGCACACACTGTGAATTCTGGGGTTTAATAAGAAACAGCGTTAGGGAGAAATCCACTACACGTCCACAAAACCTTCTGAGTCCCCAGTGGAAACGTTCCCGTTTTCTTGTTTCCTTGATGACGTCATCGATAGGCCGTCTTTGTCTAAAGGAAATATGAATATAATGGCCGGATTTCGTAGCAAGACGCTGTATGCCAGAAATGTTGCCATCCAACCCTTTGTAATCAATTTAATTTTGCTTTTGATAGCTGAGTCAGAGCATTGTTAGTGAAGATATTAGTAGAGAATGAAACTGAGTTCATGGTCTCAGTTTCAACATCAGATTGTACAGTAAATTAATTCATCGAAATAGAAGTAGGTGGACTCTGGCCTATTTTGGAGTGGTTGTGTCAAGGGCATTTCAACTGTTATAATTATCATAGAAAACGGGAAATTTGTATCATAGAAAATGGGAAATAATCTACTTCTGAGAAAGTGTTATTACTTCTTCCAAGTGATTATTCATTTTTCGGGAAAGTAGATTATCGACTTCGGGAAGTAGATTTCGACTTTTGAGAAATATTACCTAATTTTCAGAAGTAGATTATCATAGAAAACGGAAATATGTATCATAGAAAACGGAAATATCTACTCTCTGAGTTGGTATTTATTTTCCCAAAAGTAGATTATCTACTTTTTCGGGAAAGTAGATTATCGACTTTTCGGGGAAGTAGATTATCGACGTTTTGGGGAAATATTACCTAATTTTCAGAAGTAGATTATCATAGAAAACGGAAATATCTATTTCTAGGAAATTGGTTATCTACTTTCTGAAAACGGAAATTGAATCCGAAAACGAAATAATCTACTTTCCGGGAAAGATCTACTTATCATAGAAAACGGGAAATAATGTACTTTCCGGAAAAGTTGGTTATCTACTTTCTGAAAAGTAGATAATCACTTTCGGGAAAGTAGATAACCAACTTCCCAGAGAGTAGATATTTCCGTTTTCGTGATACAAATTTCCTGTTTTCTATGATAATCTACTTGGAAATTAGGTAATATTTCCAAAACGTCGATAATCTACTTCCTCGAAATGATAATCTACTTTCTGAAAAGTAGATAATCTACTTTCGGGAAAGGTAGATAACCAACTTTCCCGGAAAGTAGATTATTTCATTTTCGATACACATTTCTGCTTTTTATGATAAGTAGAAACCAACTTTCCCAGAAAGTGACATTTTTCAGATAGTTTTGTTTGCATTAGGTAATATTTCCCAAAACGTCGATAATCTACTTCCCCTGAAAATCGATAATCTACTTTTCGGAAAGTAGATTATTTTAATTTTCTATGGCGTTTTGGAGAAATATTACCTAATTTTCATTCGTAGATTATCATAGAAAACGGAAATTTGTATCACAGAAAACTGTAATTTGAGTTTAAGCAGCAGCTTAGTTTTCTTTTGGATATACTATATAAAACACGAAAAAACAAAACAATGGTTTATTTACATGGTTCAAATTTAGTTTAAATGTCTGTTTCTCCTCGTAAAGTCGCTCTTTGTGATCTGGATCTGCCAACAGTTGCCTTAAGTAGACTCTAACCTTGGCCAGTGCAAGGCTACAACCTGGTTGACATGTCTCACGTACCTCTTGTACTGCTCAACCAGACGAGCCTCACATAGGCCCTAGCAGACACCTTTGTTTCTACCTAGGGCCTGGTGACCTCACACAGCCCCTGGCACCTTCATATACAACCTGGGGACCACAGCCCTAGCAGTGGCACACTGCCTCAGGATTTTTTTAACATGTACAACAAATACAAAATAAAATATAATTACAAAAGTTTGTCTAGAGGAAATGTCATTGGTATACAAAGTTGTGAAAATGTAAGAATTACTGAAAAATACAGTAAAATCTTAAAACTAGCATCTTATATAGAACAGTGCCAGGAAGAATTAAATATTTTGTTATGCAAATGATGACAATGTACTAAATAACCTAAGTTCAACAATGTTTTGACATTTTTGAACTAGTCAACACAAGCAGTCTATCCATTGCAGGTACACAGCAGCGACGTCACCATTACTACTGTGC